CTTGAAACTGCTCCTTGGCCAAGCATCACCAATCATTATGTTCAATCCTGCTAACTAATAAAAGGCAAGCACTTTGCTCATGTGCTAGTTTCTCACAAGAAACAGACAACTAGCAATTGTTAAAGATCAAAACAGTATAAAAGACATTAAGTTTTTACCTGCAGTATCAAAAAGTCCAAGAGTATATGGTTCTCCACCAATCATAACTGTGACTGCATAGTTGTCAAAAACCTAAAAACAAAAAAATACAACATTGTCAGTGTGCCAGAAGAGAGTTAAAATGGGACAGGACAACTCCTAAGCTAAGGCAGTGTTTCCTTGCTAAGATTTAATTGTCCCTTAGTCCATCCATCATCCTTATATAACCAATCTGGCCAACCATGTCCCTGCGGCAAGCTAAACGGTTCTTGGAAAAAGACAAAGGATGTGTTCTGAGATTTCTGCTCTACCTCAGCAGCCTGGATAAAGAGCCAAAGGGCCGGGCGCGATGGCTCCTGCCTGTAATCCCAGCACTTTGGGAGGCCGAGGTAGGTGGATCACAAGGTCAAGAGATCAAGACCATCCTGGCCAACATGGTGAAACCCCATCTCTACTAAAAAATACAAAAAAATTAGTGGGGCGTGGTGGCACGCGCCTGTAGTTCCAGCTACTCGGGAGGCTGAGACAGGAGAATTGCTTGAACCTGGGAGGCAGAGGTTGCAGTGAGCCAATTTCGCACCACTGCACTCCAGCCTGGCGCCTGGTGACGGAGTGAGACTCTGTCTCAAAAAAAAAAAAAAAAAAAAAGAGCCAAAGAAGGTTTAGAGGTGTCACGGGAGCAGAGTCCTCTAGCTACACAAAATGAACCTGTTCAAGTTTGAAACTTTTGAGACAGTGGTCTACCTCAACACTCAATCTGATTCCTAAGAAATTATTTCTTCACAGACCATTTCCTTTTCATCTAGAATTAAAATCTCCTAGATGCATGACCTTTCTTCCTTTCAGAGTCCTAGAAAAGGTAAGCCTTGTTACAAGCAAGTCCATCTGAAAGAAATAGTGATACCCTCAAAGTACCCAAATAAACTGTCTAAGATAAGGCTGGCAGATTATTCCCGGGAACTTCTTTCCTTTTTCTTTTTTTTTTTTTTTTT